GGTTGGTTGGGAGAAAGGCCTCACCCTCTTCGCTGCACCCATCCGCTGGTGGGTAGCGTGCATAGATTTAGGAAGAACAGATATCACATTATGCATTTTAACCCGATCAAACATTCGGAGGTTGACTACGTACTGTAAAAAGCAACTGAGATAGAGAAGGCGACATTGCCACATATCAAATTTGCGCCTATCTACTTAGTTTGATTTGCAGAAAAGGTGACTTTAAAACCTTCACCGGATATCAATAAATCTCAATTTCTTAATTAAATGAATAGTTTATTTTTAAAGAAGCATGCGTAATAATATGTTATTAAACAGAGGATATATGCGTTACTATTAAAGGATATGTTTACTGTTTAATGTGGTGAAACGTCTAGAACTATTGGCAACGTCGCTGCTAGTCTTCCAGAATGAAATGAGCCGTCCGTCCCACCACCCCTCGCGACGGCCCATGGTCCGTTATAGCGTACTACGTTTACCTTACGGTGTGTTTGAAGTCGGAATCAAGTCCGAAGTGAACTTTTCAGTGTTTTTCAGTAGTTCTTGTTTTTGCTTAATGTACTTTTGAATCTGCGAATTTTCAATATGGTACGACAGTGTCAAATGTGTGGACAAATAAGTTCAAATTTCCCGAATTTGTCTATATTCACAGGTAGGTATTGTTTCCGCCGCGCCGTAATCGTACATAGGCGTCCCACAAGGGAGCCTCTCACAATTAAAATAATTTCTAATTATATTTGTTGAATTTTGATCTATTAAAACAAGAACGTAGTAGCCGGTAATTATACGTCTTCCTAGAGTTATTTGTACGGTGTGTTTAACTTTTTTTAGAATGGGACGAACTGTAGATAATTCTTAGGCTACTAGTTTTATACATACCTATATAGAGAGTGACCCAGGCCTCCAAAAAAGCTTTTTACCTATTACGTTTTTGGTTTGTGATTTTTATTTCAATTTTTTACATAAGATGGGGACTATTGTAACGCACATTTTCAAAATATTTTTGTCAACATACAGGGTGATTCAAACCGCAATACATATGCTTAATACAGTTCATGAAGATTAGGACATTTAACTAAAATTTGATTATCTGATGAAGCTACCTTTAAAAGTAATGGATTTGTAAATAAACGTAATAGGTATTCATTATTATGCGACAGAAATCCCATACTGTAGCACACAGATTTTATAAACTTTTAATGATAAATGCCTTCTATTGCGAGACTAAAAGGCAATTGCCTCGTATCAGAGCCATCATAATACAAGAAGAAGACCGAAAGTCATATCTTGTCTTATATTTAAAAAAACACAATTTTCTCATTAAATATTGATTTAGATTGATGTCGAAGTTATTAATAATACAAGATTAAACAACTATTACACAGTACTTCACAGGAAGCTATCGATTGCGAACTAACTAAATCGTTACTAATTAGGTACTAATTTTGAAAAGTTTTTTTTAAGATAAAAAAAGGTAAAACTAAAACCTAAACTATCATTTGAGATTAAACGGGAAGTTCTAAATAATGTTGCCTATTCTAAACAAGAAAAATATATTTATAAGTTAAGTTTTATAACATTCCTAATTAAATTTGGGCGAAAAGAATATTTCTGTTTGCTGTAGGTAATTTTCTCAGGGAAAATACGTAAATTAAAATGATTTTTTAAGCCAAAAAAAGTCAAAAGGACAAGCTATTCCAAAAAAGGACTGTCCTTTTCAAAAAAGGACAAGTGGCAACCCTAGGTATTTCGGGAATGGAAATTTAATGGCAAATCTACAACTTTGGTTTGAAAATATGTTCCGGCCTACCTATGTTTACAAAAATGTCTAAAATGTGCCTAAATGCCTCCATATTCTGAAAAAAGAAATTGAAAGAAAAGTCACCAACCACAAACCTAATATAGAACAGTTTCGGAAGCCTGAGTCACCCTGTAAATATTCAAAAGTAACTGAAAGTTTATATAGAACTAACTGAAAGTGTAAATTGAAAATCGACGTTGGAGTGATTTTCGAAAACTACTAACGTTTCAACATAAGTATATGTGGGATATTAATTGTATTATTATATTAGACCTTATAACAAAACTCATCTGACGAAAAAGTGTTAATGTAGTTATTAATATGGAGTAAAAATTTTACTAATTACTTTACTTTTACTTTACTAATTAAATTCGTTCCAAAAAACGATACGCCACTGGCCATTAGAACAATCCAAAAGCGCCTAGTTGCCGGGGTCGGAAATTTTAGACTTCTCTGTCTCTTCTGTCCTTGTTTGACACATTGGAATGTTTGATACACTACCAACGAGTATTTATGAATGAGATGTTCGGTCTATCTTTATAATGTCTTTGGTAGCGTGATTGTCCGGCTAACTTTGGAGACAGGGTTGCCACAAGCTACACAATTGTATATTTTGCTACACATTTGCTCCCATGACTGCACAGCTACACCACAATGGCCTGTGCTACACATTTTGAGAATTTACATATTTATTATAAAAAATAATACCAGAACAGTAAATCAGCTGACAAAAGCTGTTTTTTTTTTGCTTTTAAGTTATCTAAGTTAAAAGAGGACGCAAGTGAACTTTAAATTTTGAACTGACAAATAGCATTTTCGGTCATCTATTGGTCGAGTCAAAAACGGTAAATAGACAGGATTGCTTAATTCCTTAAATAATACATAACACGTACTTTGGCCAAATTCAGAGGCCAAATTTCACTGTAGTTCGGTCCACTCGTTAGCATACGTGAATAATATTCAATTCCTATTTCACTTTTCCTCCCATATCAGCAAGGACTGCAGTTTCTATGGACAAATTTGGCCGATTAAACAGTCCTGAATTGTTTACAGTTTTTAAACAGACTTTTTAACCGGTCTAATTTTTCCATAAAATCGTTAGTTTCGCGACATCAATTTTGACGTCATTGCAATATTTGCTGGCATGAGAAGAAATGAAATGGAAAATGAATATATTGACGTATACAAACGATTGGAAGTGAGACTCTTATCGAGACTCGTAATTATGCTTTAAAATTTGGCGATTTTACGTCTTATTCTTGGACTTATTGGATAGTTTACAATTATTGGTCATGGATTGCTACACAATGCTACACATTTTTATGGTGAAGTTCTGCACAATCAAAAATATTCTTGTGGCAACCCTGTTTGGAGAGCTTGTGAGACTCCACCAGTCTCAGTGCGTGAGCTACTAATGGGGAGGGTCAATTCTCGTATCTCCCTAGAAGATAACAAACACCAGTATTCTACTCAACATGTACTCAACACAATGGATAACACAATTGATAAGTACGTAGTTTTGTGGTGGTGTTCAAAAATCGCCAAGTGGACTGTCTCTTCGTTGCCAATAGCTTGTACAATAATGATACAAACAACAGTAAATATACAAACAACAGCACAGAATGTGACCTTAATCAAAATTAATAATAACAATCTATCATAGAATTAATTACCATAGAAACGCCTTTTGATTTTTAGGACCATAGATGAACAAATAAAAAGAGACTGGCAAATTAAATGGCAAAGAGAGGGACAACGTTCCCGTAGCGCAACTCAGAACGCAAAATTTCGTTCTATTTGTGTTGATCTGCGCATTGCGTCTATTGGGCCCACTATCTCATTCTAATATAACAAGAGAGAAAGAAGCAGCCAAATAAAACGTATTTCTAAATAGAAATTAGAACAATCGCCTTTCGTTTTCGTCATCATGACAACCATGATGAGATCATGACAATTCGTCATGTTTGTTAATTTTTCTTTTGGTGATTTACCTTTTTTTCTAAACTCTCCATTTTATTGATTTATGAATATGGATAGGGAACAAATTCCTTTGTTCCATATAGGTATTTATATTTTGTTACTTATAATTTTAGGTTATACTATTTGTTATTTTATTTGCTGCAGGAGCCAGTATCATCTATTTTCTATATGTATTGGTGCCCCCTTTCTCTGATAGATATGCTAAAGACACCCGGTAAAATAGAAGTAAGTATATAGTTATATTTATCATCTTATTAAGAAAAAAGTAGAAGTAGTAGTGTCAAAAATATTTCTCTTAACATAACAAATTAATACAATTAATTTTTTTAATTTTTTGGGTAGGTAATTTATAGCTGGTTTATAGTAACCAGAAACTTTATTAATATCTATGTGAATATACCTATTTTACTTTTGTTTTAGGATTAAAACTGGACTTGAAAATGGTTCAGGATCATGATTCTCGTAAAGTCTTCTTTGCTTGGATATTCACTTTGTTATTGCAATTAGGCAGTTTTTTTCGAAAATGAGATTTTTAATGCCCTTTAAAAAACTTGGCCGATCGTTTCCTGCAACAGTCTTCTTCTACATTTAAAATTGGTAGGTGGGTGGAATAAACACTGTTATTTTTTGTTATTATATTATAAGTTTATTTATTTTTATGTATAAATAAATATGTTTATAAAACAGTACAATTTTTGCTTTTTTTATAATTTCCCTTATAATAGTAGGATTCTTTCGCTCTGAAAGAAACTGCAAATTTTCACTTAAACTGATTTGTTCCCTACACCACGTTCTCTTTACGTGGTATAGGGAATAAATCAGTTTAAGTAAAAATTTTCAGTTTCAGAATGAAAGAATACTACTTCTTCTTCTTCTTAAGGTGCCGACTTCTTGCGAAGGTTGGCGACCATCATCAAGGAATACTACTAATAATGGCTAATTTAAATTTTCCGCCAGCCAGAATGTGCGATAATGTCTTACGATACGTTTTATACCTATCTCTTTCTTTTTCATATAAAGTACACATAATAAAGAAAGATAGCAATAAAGACGTACGTCCTACCATGGTCCTGCTAATTGGTTTCAAAATTGTTATTCTGAGTTGCGCTACGGGAACGCGGTCCCACTCTTTACCATGGGATTTGTCAGTCTCTTTTTATTTGTTTGTCTATGTTTAGGACACAAAAAATTCAACCATATACTCCTATACATAATCGGGTTACAACGTTTCCCGTCTTCCGATTCCTAATCTCCACCTCTCTCTATTTCCCCATCCATCTACTTCCAAACCTCTGTACAAAACTTCTTTATCAATACCCTCTCTCCAGCTCTTGCATGGTCTTCCTCTTTTTCTTCTACCTTGAGGGTTCCAAATTAATATTTTCTTTGGGATTCGATGTTCTTCCATTCTTTTCACGTGTCCATACCATATTAATTGCTGAGTTCTAATGTCATATACGATATCGTGTTTTAGTCCCATTTGGCGTCTTATGGTTTCATTTGGTATTTTATCTTTTCTGGATTTTCCAGCCGATCTTCTCCGAAAGTCCATATAATGTAGGTAATTATGCTTTTTACGATGGAATTGTAAATTCTTTTTTTGTTTTCTATCGTTTTATTCCTATCCTATAGTATTCCATTTAGCATCGAAATTGCTTTTCTGTCTTGCATATTTCTTTCCAATTTTTCTTTGGATATTTTCATTCCGAGATATTTGTAGCTGTTGCAATGACTAATGACTTGTTCTGTTGCTAGTTGTGAGGTCTTGTTGTCCACCAATGCACATGTGTTCTATTTTTAATATTCAGTTCTAATTCCCATTTTTCATACTCCTCGATAAGTTTTCGGTTCATGTATTCCAAGTCGTCTATATCTTGTGCTACAATAGACTGGTCATCTGCGAACGACAAGGTGTACACTGTAGTATCATCATCTACTGGTAATCCCATATTACTACATTTTCGTTTCCATGTTTTCAATGTATTTTCCAAGTAAATCTTAAATAACGCGTGTGATAAGCAACATCCTTGTCTAAGGCAATTAGTGACTGTAAATCCTGGTGTTAACCCATGGTTTGTTTTAATTCTATATTTTGAGTCGCGGTCTAAGGATTTAACAGTCTTTATTATTTCTGTGTTCATATTTCTTTGTTTCAGCTTGCAGCGTCTCCCAAAGTCTCCCTAAAGATATACTACCATACGCTTTCTTCAAATCAACAAATAGAATATGAACTTCCTGATCGAATGCTGTTTTCTTTTCTAGGATTTGTGTTAGTGTGAAGAGATGGTCTACTGTGGATCATCCTGCTCTAAAGCCTGCCTGTTTTTCAGCCTCCATATAAGCATATTATTTTGCAATTCTATTTTTCAGAACATTTCCATATACTCTGCTAATTGTACCTGTAACCGGTATTCCTCGATAATTTATCCCAGTTACTTTTATCTCCATTTTTTGAAATTCAACCACATTTTCTCTGAAACAGTATGGAAATTTTGAAAAATATAAACGGGATTAACCATTTTAGAACAAACAAAAATGTTTATGAAGAATGCATTTTTCTCAAAATTTATTCAATATCAAAAAAGTATTTCCTCTTGTAAAGACAATCCGGGGACATTGTATATTTCTCTCTATCGTACGGCACTTTCTTTGTCCCGACATTTTGAGTCTTCTGCCCACCTTAGGGACTCGAAAAAATGTTCACCCGAGCCGCTGTCATTAGCCACTTCAAATAAATAGAGCCAATTTTACACTAATTAAAAGGTAAGTAATGTACGTGTCCGTGAAGGAATTTTTGCGGCAGCCGCGTCACCGGCGAAACCTTTTACAGAGCGGGACAGTGCGGACACGAAGAAAGAAAATAATAGAGGGAAGGACAAAGAACCGCTTACGAGAGCACAAAAGTTTAGTTTTTTTCGACGATTCAGCACAAAAGGATGGAAGAATAAAGACCAATTCAGTAACAACTCGAATGTTAATTTATCTATACTTAAAAAATTATAACAATATAACATACGAACATCTTTCAAAACACAAAATACACTTAGATCCATTTTAACACACACTAAACTAAACCAATCAACAGTGAACAACAAACAAAAAATGTAATATACAAAATACCATATGAAAGTGATAAATTTTATATTGGTGAAACATCTAGACCCCTAAATGTTCGAATTAAAGAGCATAAAGATTATTTAAGAAAGGGCAACTTTCACAAATCTAAGATTTGTCAGCATTCATGGGATACAGGACACAAAGTAGATTTTAACATCGCAAAAATTATAGTGAAAGAAACGATAGGCCGAAGAAATTTGAAGTTCAGGTCACAACCTAAAAAGGAAGTAAATATATAGTCCTTACCCAAGAAGCATTTTTGGTTTTATAAGTATGTTAGGAAACTACCCAACACCATATTATACAACCTAAACGCATCTAGAATGGTTGTCGTGAGTTATTGGTAACCATTATATAACACTTATATGCCCTAAACGGTCCATTTTATAACTGTTCCTATGGTAACCCTTAACACTCAAGGATATCAAACTTTCTCAACACCTTTATATATCCTATCGAGTTACCGCTATAAAACTGAAAAAGGGTATATATTAGTTATATAGTGGTGTTGGGAAGGTTCCCAGAGACTACCTCCATAGAAATATCGCGCATGCGCGATTTTTGAAAATATACTTGTTTCTTTCTAACTAACTACTTTAATATTTGCCTCTTTTCTTAACATAAATAGCTGATATGATCTTATTGCTCCAAGTTGTCCTACGCAGATAATCCAGACTAGAAACAAAAGAGACAAAATGACACCATCCCTGTCGTAGCCTACAAAAGCGTTTGCGTTATGCAAATGACTTTATAGAAATTACTGGCTTAATAAAGTTTATTGTGCCTAGCCAGAGTACTAAATCCATATGCGATATTAAATTTACTGTGTGAAAATCAATTTTACATCCAAAAAACACATGCGCCCCCAAAAGCAGAATTATTTAATAGGTTTTTTTATAAACAAAAAAAGTATAGTAAAATTTTTGTAATGAAAGTCAAATTTATTAATACAAATAATAGAACACACGACTTTTTTAATACATAGAAATAACTGGCAACTAGCCAAAATATAGTTTTGTACCAGTTTTCAACGTTATCTTAGAAATACTCATTGGAGCCAAAAATTAAGAAATCAATAATAATGGCGTCCATTATATTTAAAGTGCTATGTATTACTTTAGGGTCTATAACATACTCATCAACCATTATATAAATTTGGTTACTTAAGGTTGCGTAAATGAGTTTGGGTTATTTAAAACACCAATTTTAGTGTTTTATACAACTAAAGGTGATACAAATCACCATTATAAATGCCGGGGTGTTTATGGCTAGTTTTAGTCACCCAGAAAACCTTTATGTAACCCGTAGTGTCGACTGTAGCGACTCCCTGCGAACGAAGTTTGACATTACAGCAATTTGACAGAAAATGTGCAGAAAACAAAACATAACCTCATAAAATTGAAATAATACTGTTTTGGTACAATTTGATCTATATTTAAAGTGGTAGGAGTTTGCAAAAGAGTTCTAGGGTCCTTTGGTACTTTGGTAGAACAGTTATGAATGAATTGACTATAGAAAATAGTTCTTTAAGTGTAGAATGTGTAATGTTAAAGCGCAAAGCTCATTCTCTTATGTTAGAAAATGCCTTAACCAGGCATCTTCCTGTTCCTGATCGTTTTGGCAACTTTCTGTTGGAAATATCTCAGGTTGATCCTGATCTCTGCTTGTGGATGGTAAATTTGCATGTTGGCTTTCAATATTGGTAGATGTAGTTTGAATGAGGTTTGGATTATTCCTATTTTTTTTTAAATTCTGAAGAACTTTTCTCTTGAACGTAGATGTATTTTTGTGTTTTGTCCAGTTTATTTTTTATTATTCATTATAATACCGAATTGCTTTGCTTGCTAATATATTATTTGTTTTGATTATATTAAAAATTTAAGGTTATGTCATTAGGTTTGATATTCGGTAACTACAGGTTATATAAAGCATGCAAACATTTGAAAGGCACAAAAAAACGATTTCATGGAACAATTATATAACTTGTGGTATTATTGGTTACATAATGGTTCTTAATAACACCTTTAGTTATATAGTGTATATCTTGCGTACCTTTATAACACCTAATACAAGAAGTTATATAAAATAGATGTGAACACCTTTATAAAACCTTACTATGAAACCTTTAGTAACAAGAACCTGTAGTTTTATAAGGAAAGTGATAAACAACATTTCAAGGTGACTATTAGTGATAAGTAACCAACGCTACACTTATATAAATCAAAACACTGTAAGATACCAATGAGACATTTATTAAACCTTTATATAACTAACCTTGAGAATATATAACCTAAAGGAACTTAAAATGTTACTTGGATAGGTATATTAGAGCCACACAAGTCTCCCAATACGGAGAAACGAGGATAAAGATACAGTTGTTCTCAAAAAAAGAGCCAAAATTCATTTCTTTTTTCACTACGTCCGCTCTTCCTTTATAGATCAGTCCAAAGCGAGTAGATCAGCGGCTTGCGGAGCCAGGAGTGCGCAAACCAACCGTGTGGTTCTAAAGGGGACCACACGCGCGTCAAGGCTCGTGATTGCCCGACGGCGCGTCTCGGTCCGACGCGCACGGGCGTTTCCGACCAACGGCCCAAGCGCCAAGATCTCCGCCTTGAGGACCACACACCACGCAGCGGCGTACGCGCAGTACATAGATATCTTTTAGATTGCCCACTCCCATGTTTTTTTAGGACCAGTTTTTTGCACATTAAAGAGACTTGCATTGCCGACATTATATTATACCGTCTTTATTTAAATCGCTGTTGTTTAAGTTTTTTTATCTATTAAGCTACAAGTTCTAAATACTCCTATCCCTGTCCCTGCTTTGGTTTTGAAAGCATCAGTATACCACATTATGGTATGGTCTTTTACCTGCTGAGCAAACGTTTCTCTCTTCCAACATCAGATGCTGCGCCGATTGTATCTTCCTGTCTCTGCATATCTTATGAGAAGTGTACGTTTGCACATCGTTTAGGGTAGTTAGTATCTTTTTATACTCATATGCGGAGTGTCAGTCCGCGCGCAACATTTTGTGATACTATTTTTACATCAACAATTTTATAATGTCGAACAAGGTAAGATATTTTACTGATTTGTTTTAATTGAAAATGAGCAAATTGTGATAAAAAAGTGAATAATCGACTTTTTTATTAAATAAGTATTATGTTTTAGATGTACTCTGCAAGAAAGATTGCAACAGCTCATGGAAGACTGTTTGAACGGAGATGACGAATTAAGTACTGAACATGACGATGAAAAGGAAGAACGAGAAGTGGATATTATAGAAAGGCAAGGGCCCAAAATAAATTCTGACACTGAAAAATAAATTTCAGATTCGGAAGCACTTAAAAAACAGACCAACTCGTTACTCTTTTTACAGTGTTACTATTTCGTATGTTTTGAGCACACACAAATATACTGTAATCACTGTTATAC